AACTTAGCAATTTGCACAGATTCATTATCATCCATAAATTCGATTAGACAAATCTACACATCAAATTCTTTAGTTAATGAGGTCCACGAAAGATGTACAGCACTTGCTAAATCAAACACTTCGGTTTCGATAATATGGAATCCTTGACATATTGGTATTAAAGGAAATGAGAATGCTGACCACGCAGCAAATGAAGCACGTCGCTCTGACCTTACAGATGAAAAAGTCCAAATGTTTCAAGACATAATAATTGAAATTAAAAAGTTATCTACCCCAATGTGGCAAAATCAATGGAACAGGTGCACTACCCAACTAAAGTCTATCCAACCAAACATTTTAGGACCTAGAATTGTTACAATGGAAAGAAAATCGAAGACCATAATTAGAAGGCTCAGAATTGGGCACACCCGGCTAACCCACGGATATCTGATGGTTCCCGAAGAACCTCCAAACTGCCAATATTGCAACTCCCGGCTAAGTGTACACCATATACTTGTGGAATGCAACCAGTACGCAGCAGCACGGATCAAACATGGTATCCACGGAAGTTTATGTGATATTTTAAAATCTAAAAACAATATGTCTAATGTGATAGAGTTCCTTAAAAACTGTTAATTATATCACCTGTTGTAATTGTATCATCTATCTATATTTCGATTTTGTAATCATCCGCTATTTTTTTTTATTTTTTTTAATATCATCTGTATTGAAATTTATTGAATCAATGTAGCTTTATTGTTATTCTGTAATACAGTTCCTGGAGATTTTAATGCAAAAATTGGAGTAGGTACAGTTGGAAATATAGTTGGACAGTTCGGACTAGGAACTAGAAACTAGAGAGGAGAAAGGCTCATAGAATTCTGCCAAGAAAAGAATATGGTAATTGCCAATACTTGGTTTCAGCTTCCTAAAAGAAGACTATATACATGGACGTCTCCTTCACATACAGAAAACCACATTGTCAGAAACCAGATAGACTTTATACTCGTAAATAGCAGATATAAAAACTCTATAACCTCAGTTAAAACTTATCCTGGAGCAGATGTTAACTCAGACCACAATCCGCTAGTGGCTGACGTGAAAATAAAATTAAAAAGAATTGAACTCAGAAAACAACAACCAAAAATTAACGTAAGAATGCTACAAAACGAAGAAATTAAAAACGAAATAAAAAATAATGTGAATGTTAATATGCAAAAAACACTAACTGACAACAAACAAATTATGGATGTAAATAAAAAGTGGTGTAATATAAAAAACACATTACTGAAACCAGCTCAAGAAAGTTTAATAGAACATAAATCAGAGGCTAAAAAACACTGGGTGACAGAAGAAATACTATTACTGATGGAAGAAAGAAGGAAATATAAAGGAAAATATCTACAGAAGTATAAAGAAATACAACGACTAATTAAGGAAAAAAATCAAAACAGCTAAGGAAATCTATTTGATGAGGCAATGTAGAGAGATAGAAGAACTAGAAACAAGATATGATATGAGAAATATGAACAAAAAAATTAGAGAAGTGACTGGAATGGGTCGAAATAGACAGCAAGGACACATAAAAGACAAAAAAGGAGTACTACTAGTAGATTTACCAGAGAAGTTAAGGCGATGGGAGGAGTACGTTAGAGAACTTTTCCAAGATGAAAGAGGTGAAATGCAGAAAATACAAGAATTAAATCCTTTAGAGATACAGAAGATCACGATAGATGAAATCAAATATGCTATAAAATAAATATGCTAAAAACTCTAAAACAATAAGGCAGCTGGATTAGATGAAATACCAGTAGAACTATTAAAACTAGTGGAAGAGTACAACTTGGAAGTATTGGCAGATTTATTCAACACGGTGTACCATACGGGAATAATACCACAGGAGTGGCTAAAGTGAGCATTTATAACCATCCCTAAAAAACAAGCAGCAAAAGAGTGCTCTGATTATCGAACACTGAGCCTCATTCGTCATACTTTTAAAGAATATACGAAAGGCTAGAGGAGGATATTAGCGAGACGCAGTTCGGGTTCCGAAATGGAATGGGTACTCGAGAAGGACTATTTGCCATCAACATATTGATTCAGCGATGTCGGGATGTAAATGTTGATCTACATTTGTGCTTCGTTGTAGTACGTAAGACATGGAAAACTAATATCAATACTTATAAACAAGCGCATTGACAGTAAAATCATAAATATAGTGCAAACATTATATTGGAACCAAAGTGCCATAGTTCAAATTGATGGGCAACACTCAGAAGAAATGAGGATCTGTAGAGGAGTTAGACAGGGATGTGTGTTATCACCACTTTTGTTTAACTTATATTCTGAAGAAATTTTCCAAAACACGCTCAATAATATCGAAGCGGGAGTCACCGTTAACGGAAAATTAATTAATAATTTAAGATATGCAGGCGACACTGTGATCATAGCAACGAGTATAGAGGATCTACAACATCTTATCGAAAGCTTGAGTATAAATAGTGCTGAGATGGGAATTACTATAAACGCTAAAAAAACGAAGTACATGCTGATTACAAAAAGGCCACAAAATATACATCACCTATTGACAATAAATGGTAACGTGATAGAACAAGTAGAAAAATATCAGTATTTGGGAACTTTGATCAATAAAACCAATGATCATACTGTAGAAATAAACAGACGAATAGAGATTGCCAGATCAGTATTTATACGAATGAAGCCACTCCTAACGTGCAAAAATCTAAATTTGGAGATCAGACTACGTACCATTCGCTGTTATATATTTTCAATATTATTATATGGAGCTGAGACTTGGACATTAAAAAAATGTAATTTAAAAAGAATCGAGGCTTTCGAACTCTGGTTATACCGCAGATTATTGAAAATATCATGGACTGATAGAATTACAAATAAAGAAGTACTGGAGAGGGTTGGTAAAGAAACAGAACTAATCACCACTATACAAACCAGAAAACTGGAATACCTAGGCCACGTGATGAGGGGACCAAAATATGAAATTTTGAGACTGATAATACAGGGAAAGACTCAAGGAAGAAGATCTGTTGGCCGAAGGCAGAACTCATGGTTAAAGAATCTACGTGATTGGTACCAATGCAGATCGATTGATTTGTTTAGAGCAGCAAGTTCTAAAATAAAAATAGCCATTATGATTGCCAACCTCCCTAGGGAGACGGCACTCTAAGAAGAAGAATACAGTTCCTCGTGTCAATGGCCGCAGCAGCCGAGACATGTAATTTGAAAAAAAAAAGATACGTTTTAATCCCTTTTTTATATTCCTTGTATTTTTTTGACTTGCTTTAAACAATAATTATATTTGTTAAATAGTTAAATAGATAAATTAAATAAAAAATACAATGTTTGACTTAATTTCTTGTTCAAAACAAAGATCTAACCAAACTAGTCATACTATATTATAATCTATTGTATTATAATTTATTTGATATTATACTTCATTGATTAATTTTCTATATCAAAATAATAATTTGATCTATTTAACTGTTTTCAGTTTAATTTTAAATGGCGATCATATAGAAACTGGAGCAATTGCTAACCTTTCCAAAAACTTTTTTAAGTATGTCGCAACTCTCGTTGATTAACACAACCAATCCGTTGCGAAAATAAGCTAAAAACGACAAAAAAATCTCAAAAAACAAGAAAGAAAAACCACTTAAAATAAGCAATATTTAATTAAACCTTTAGTAAGTTTTAGATACACCCACAGCCACATCTACCACAATATAAAGGCGTTCTTTGGTCCTTTGCTCCACGTGGTGCGCGCGTCAGGGGTGGGAGCCAACGTGGATCCGCGAAGAGTGGGGCAAGATTTCAAATCAGTATCATTCGGTATGCTTTACGGGATGTGACAGAATCTGACACAATTTTCGTGGAGTTTTCGCGAAGTTTTATACCATTACTCAATTGTGATATATATCTTTAATCAAAAACAGGTAAGAACGCTTTAAAAAATATATTTAATAATCTTCTATTTTTTTTAATAATTAGGTGTCATAAAATGCTAAATTTTATATAGAAATAACTCTTAAACTTTTTAAAAGGTTAAGATACATAAAGTATTACAAATAACCTCAAAATTAAATTAAAAATAACCATTTTTGATTTTTTTAAACACATTAGTTAATGTGGACATTTTTTCATATTTTTGTCCTCTTTTACTCCTTTAATTCTAATGTTTTTACTTGAGTTAATAATTTTTGACGGTATTTACCTAACAATCTGGCAATTTAACATCGTTATTCCTTTATTTCTTGTACCATTCTCATCTGTACAGTTTTTCTAGTTATTTTGTATTTATAAATTGTGAGCATATGCCCATAAAGTATTAAATTCTTTAGGTACATGTATGTTATGTAATATAGAATTTGTTAAAATTATATTTCATAGATTCATTTTGCATTTTGCTGAAGTGAATTAGCTTTTGAGTTTTTCATTTCCTTTACTAATAAAACTTTCATTTTCTTTATTTTGAATATTGATTTTATGATACCTAGTGGTAATATTGGTTTGTTTTTTGCGTGGTGTTTTTCAACTTAAAGAAACTAAGAATGCCCTACTACTTGAAAATATTTATAATCGTAAAAGTAGTGTACGGACCAGTAAGTACATTCTCATATGACCAAAAATATTCAGGACATTATACTTCTTAAACACAAGTTAATTTGATTCAAGGGGAATACACAAATTTTCTGTTTTGATTCTAAAAGTTTTCAAAAACAAATTTCAACAATTATGGAGTCATATTCTATAGCAGTATCAAGAAATTTATCCACAAATAAAATAAAAGATTAGATGTTAAAAAAAATATGTAAAAAAACCCTAAATAAAGAATTGAAAATTACAAAACGATATTCCTGCAATACAATTCTTATAAATAAAATATTATTACTACAAATTATTGATAATTTAAGCACCTTTTTTGCTACCCTTTAGAACAAATGCTAAGCTGAATAAATAAATTTACACTGCCTTTTTTTTCAGTAATGGAAAATTCAGCATACGTCCCTAATTCCGCTCATCTGAATTCCCCAGCGTTAGTGGTATTTTCCCAAGCCGCCGGAGGATTGCAAGACGCACTAAGAATTCAAAGGCCCTTTAATCCACAGGTTTGTGAGAAATCGTACAATTTGAAACCCTATAAATTCTTTTAGTTTGAGATTATACTATAGCGGTGTAATATGTTTTATTTACAACACTTTGATGATGATATGATGAAGAATGAGTAGATTTGATCTCGTGATATATAACAAGTTAGATAAATGTTTTAGAGTCTTATTTAATTGGAAATTCAGTTTCTATTTCACGGTGAGATCTAAAGCATGTTTTATCAAAAGCTAAAATAACCAACATATTACAGTTGGGATAAGCTATTTAAAGTAAACGAAGATATTTCATGCTAAAATTTAAATCGCACATGTGTGGATTAAAAAAAAGGTTTTTATTCTTAAAATTAACAAAATCGCCCCTTTTACATTAGATCATGCTTAAAAATTTAATATTTTCTTCATCTCTACAGCATTAAAGTATTTTGCGGTAAAGAGATTATAAAACTATATTCTAAGACCTTCAATTTGCAAATAAAAGTTTCAAGCACCTATAGATCCAAAAATATGGCATTTTAAACATTTTTTTTATTTTCGAGTTAAACATCAATTTTATATGATTTTTATTAATGGCTGTAAATTCTTAAATAATGTGTAAATACTTATATGCATAAAAGTATTTTTTATGTTCATATCAACGTATTCACTATCAAGAATGTTTATTTAGATACAATAATTTATTTATCTATATTTTTTGATAATGTTTGTGTTACAAATTGAAGTTACATTTTTAATATACATTATGTTATATATTATAGTTTGAAATGATATATCGCACACCTAGTTCAATAGTGCCACAAGTCCAAATTACAATAATTTAATTATAATAATTTACACACTATCAATTTTATTGAAAACATACAAAACCTGCTTACCAGTTAGACCAAATTACAATAATTTCGAAAAATGAGCAAAACGTTCTGTAGCAAACGAGTTATGCCTTGTAAATAATTTATTTTTAGAATGACTGGCTTCAAAATTACAATTTAGTTAGCAAATTATACAGTTATTCGCTCTATCTTATTACAATTTATTAAAAATAAAACGTTAATTGTATTTTGATAGTTATGGCGATATTGAATTGTGAAGAAAGTCATTTATAAAACGATAAATAGGAGATATAGCGGCAACATAAAAAAAATCAACTAGTTCTTACAAAAAATATTTTTATTATTATTATTACAAGTGTGTATGAACATTTTTTTTAATTACTATTAACCAAGTCCTTATAAAAATTGTGATGAACAGGTAATATTAAGTTTTTGTTGCACAGTTCCAAAAGGTGTTGCTTGGTTTTTGCGGATATCGATGGAGGCTTTATGTACACCTTTTTTTAAATCGATTAGTGCTTCCACAGTTGCTGAACGCCCCCTTGTTGATGCTTTAAAATGGACCTCTTCGAACTCATCGGCATTATAATCTATTTTATAGAAGAAAGATCCAGGATTGCTTTTGACAACTTTAATAACTTAGATATCATTCCAGACTACCTTTTCATATTTTGTATTCTTTGTAAAATTTCCTCCAATTTTTGAATTGAGATCTTTAAAGTCATAAAAGTCTTCTGTTGACATTTCTTTTACATTGTAAGGATTTCCCTCTTTTTTGCAGATCTTATGATGACAGGCCATTGTGCAGGAACATAAATGGGACCTGTTTTAAGTATTTTCTTCTTTTGCCTCTCAATAGTTGCGTGCATGGCGTCCCCTTCATTTTGGGTATGTCCCACTGTTAAAAATTTATGTGTGATTGATTTAACATTCATTTTTCCAATTGCATAGAGATACATGGTAACTATAAATTATTTATTTTTATTTTGCCCAACACAATTGTCGCTATAAAATATAACGTCTTTATCATTACAATGATTTGAAAGATAATCAAACAGACACGTAGCTATTTCGTTTGAGCCGCGGTTAGCAATAGCCTCGTGCCAAAAGTAACAGTAACCAGTTTTTTGCAATATCTGAAAAATTGTAAAAAGTTGAAGCAGTTCAGGCGGCATTTATAGTAGAAGCTTGAAACATCTCCACAAGGTGTAGGAAGGATCGCCTGCAAATCAAAACAAGCTACCAATACTTGAGAATCATCTTTTGCTCTTGCTAGATCTTGTGCTTTTTCTTCTCTGCTTCTAATTTTATTATGGATATGTTTATTATAAGTTTGATGAAGAGTAGCTTGCTGTTCAGCAGAAGAATTTTTATATGATTCACAAATTGCGCACTGATCTTTTTTTGGCTGAAAGAAAGTTATGTTAAACTCAGTTTTGAAAATATGCTCGTAAGTGCATTTTTTATTTTTTAGCCACAGGCCTTCCTTCACTCTCTTCCTGTAGTTTGTAGTAGCGATACATTTGAGCTAAAGTAAGTGAACCATCTATGTATTCCTTTGTAGTTTGTGCTCTAAGATAATGTGATTCTACCCTTTGGAAAGAATTTATGTGTTCTCTTATTTTATTTTTCACCGGTCCAGTAACCGTTTCTCGTTTCATAAAAATATACCTGCTCTATTTAATCATCTTGGCGAGGGTCTGTATGTAGATTTTCTTGATCTTCAAATGTATTTGCGGTATGATTTGATTGCACGGGTAACGCAACCGGAGTAAGCTAAAAAATTACATACATTAAGTAAAACCTCACTGTGATTTTTGTTAAAATACAAACCTCCGTCAACACAAAGGAGATGTCATTCATAACCTCAGAAACCTCTAAATTGTCTCTCAGATTCTCATCATCTTTAAGATAGCTTTGCAAAGCTAGTCCAAGCATTTTTCTTGCCCTTGACATTGTGTTTGATAATAAAATTAATAATAATATCACTATACACTGTTTTCAGTTTTCACTTTAAATCAAATAGTTGTACACTAAAAACGTGGATACCTCGTGCATAAATAATTGAGAACTGATAAAATCGTACCACTAATCTAACAATTTTTGCAGTTGTGGCCGTATTGAATTACATCGGTTGTATTGTGGCGGAGTGTATTATCGCCACATCTCCTAGTTATAGCCATATTGCATTTCAAAACCCTACAGTGTAATACCGAAATATCTTACTTTACACTTATCCAAGACAATATTTCAGTTAAGGTTGTATTGCATTAAATGGGGTATCATATATGCAACCTTTTTAAAACCTTAACTCAAAATTGGAATTCTTGGAGTTGTGGCAGTATTGAACTAGATGTACGATATGTACTAATATAAATGATGATTATACATATAATAGATAGTATTTCTAATCATTTCTTTACATGAAACTTACATTTTAAATATGAAGCGAGTTGTATTCACAAACAGATTTTTTTTTTGTTGCTCCATATATTTTGGATTGTTTGGTTTGATAATATATTTGTTATTCCAAGTATTTTTAAAATCATGGTGAACATCTTCAAAAGCTTGTTTTGAAAGATATCCTAAACCGATTTCATATTTTGTACAAAAATCTACTATATGGAAAAAAAAAACCGCGTGAACTTTTGAAGTGATAGATATAGAAAGATGGATATAACTTTTCATACAATTTAAAATACAATTCACATGGTTGCTTTTTAATTCTGTGGAAAACAAGCTTCAACAATAGAATTAAAATCGACAAAAGCTTCCACATAATCGAAGCACAAGTTTCATCATCTGACATCACAAAGTCTATGTAAAAGACTTGTACTTTCTGTTTTCAATAATTGTCTACAATCACCTCCATCAAAACCACGGAAAATTTTACGCTGAACGTAACATAAGGTAGCCCACAGCCCACTTTAACGAAATACTTTGAAATCTTTTAAACATATGATTATAAATCGTATTTACAACACGAATGATTAGATAGAGCTCAGGAGGTACTAGTAAATCTATAATCAATGTCTCTGATTGTGCCTCAAAACTGTTCTTCACTATTGACAAATTAACACAATACATGTAATATTTAGCGTCTTTTTCGCTTCCCCCTACATTTCTCCAGTTCTACTTTTTTTTTCAAAATTCCACACATGTGCTATTAAAATTTTAGCATGAAATATCTTCTTTTACTTTAAATAACATATCCCAACTGTTGGTTATTTCCCCATATGTTGGTTATTTTAGATTTTGATAAAACATGCTTTAGAACTATTCATCTATTTAAGAATATATCCAGGCTTTTCCGTAATAATTCTTTTTGTACTACCAGGTTTTCGAATTGTTCACTTTTTTGCATTTCATATTTAATAGATATGTTTTATCAAATATTTTGTTAATAATAAACTATAAATTACTATTTAAATGGGAATAAGCCACAATTAAAAATTAAAGTACGTTTATTGACGTTTCAATTTCCACTTCGGAAATCGTACTAAAAATACAAACATTAATATAAATAGTAATTAATTTAAAATGCCACCAGAAAATAGCTTCAGAACAATAATAAACTATAAGTTTACTACATATCTAAATCAGTAGAAAAAGTTAAATATACCTACGTAATGTATTTTTTCCTTCTTATCTGTGGTTTTTTTACTACTACTACTACTACCACTATCACTAGCATTCAAAAATACATTTTATTTTATGTTTGATTTCCAATATGAGAACAATTTCAAAAATAAAAATTTCGTAGATAACGTATTTTCAATTAAAATGATGGTTTATTTTCTCTAAATCTACTAGATAACTTCTTTTTCTGATGATCTATTTATTTCTTAACTTCTTTTGTTCCATTTTCCTTATATTCCTCTTGGCCAAGTTGCATTTCTTCATAGATTTTCAATTTGTATCTTTTCTGTATCTATTATAGTAGTTATCTGTATTTTTTATTTTCCTGGTCTTCAAACCTCTCAATATTCTACTTTTTTGTGTTATTCTACTTTCTGAGTCAGCATTGGCGCTTATATACACATAACCTGACCTCATGTATCACCTGTTTATATCATCATATATCATCATCAAGTTTTTTCCACATCATGTCTTATCCAGGTTATTTTTTGTATGTCCTTGTGTGTCTGTCCACTGTTGTTTTCTCTAAATCTA